ATAAAATAAGGGCTCGCTCCTCAGTACATAAATAATGGGTCAAGTCCCCAAGTATTTTTTATGAGGCCCAGTTGAGACCTAATATATGTCACATACATAATGTAGTCCCCCAAGTCTTCGATCAATAGAGTCTGTTGGCTAGAGACTTTAAATTGAATCCATGTATGGGTCGAAGTGGCGGTTTGTTCGGATGCGGTATTTGTATACCCTGCAATGAAGCTTTGTAGGTGAAGCTTTGCAAGTGAAGCTTTGAAGCTAGAGCTCTGTAAATGAAGCTTTTGAAGCTAGAGCTCTGTGAATGAAACTTTTGAAGATGATTGACATGAGTGATGCTCATGAATGTTTATGTTAATTGACATGAGTGATGCTCATGGATGTTGTCATGAGTGATGCTCATGGATGTTGTCATGAGTGATGCTCATGGATGTTGTCATGAGTGATGCTCATGAATGTTGACATGAATAATGGTCATGAATGTTTATGTATGATTATCATGAGTGATGCTCATGAATGTTTATGTATGAATGACATGAGTAGTGCTTATGTATAATTTTGAAGTACTGGGCGTACTTTTGATCACCTGGTTGGTGGCATGAAGGAGAGTACGGGTTGTACATTTCATTACCTGGTTGGTGGCATGAATGGCTAGTTACCAAATGATTTTAGAGTACGGGTTGTACATTTCATCACCTGGTTGGTGGTAATAGCGGCAGGTTGTCGAATAATTTTGGAGTACTGGGCGTACTTTTGATCACCTGGTTGGTCGTAATAGTGGCAGGTTGCCGAATAATGATGGAGTGCTGGGCGTACTTTCGATCGCCTGGTTGGAGCTATTTTGGGCTTATGGGCCTTTGCCCTCCACAACATGCCAGCCCATTTATTTTGGGCTTTGTCGTTTTTTTTTGTTTTTTATTATTATTACCCTCTGATGGGGTTTATACAGATGTCTCTAACAGATAAGAAAAATACATCATAAAAATAAGAAAAGTAAATCACATCATTCTGGTGGGGTGTTTACTCATTGCTTTTGCTTTCTGCTTTTACTTTTCCACCACACCTCTCTCTCTGTATCTGTCTTTGTGCTGCTATCCTGCATGTGCTCAGTAAAAAACCCATTCTTTCAGATTTAATTCTCTTCTCTCCTTTTGCTTTTGTTTCTATCTTCTTTTCTCTTGTTCTTTTTTTTTTCTTTTCCTTTCTCAGAAAATGAAGATGCAGGGGATGGGTCATTGATCTCATCCAGCAGGTTGTCTGCAGCATACAGAGCATCTTTGATTTGCACTAGCTTCCCTGCAATTTGTCGAGGTACTGGCCTGATCATGGGCCCTCTTGATCAAGGGGTGCAAAGAGTCGAGAAATTTCACCAGCCACTCTATATTCTTGAACTGTCTAAAGTAATTTCCGTCCCCAGTTTCATCTACATGATTTCCAACGTCTAGTTCGACATGCATATAAGAGACTGAGGCGGTGGAGCCCATGGCGTATGAGGCAACGAAATTGAAGCCTTCCGTCAGTATCCCTTAAGCAAACCCAAATTGCTGCTGTTGTTTTCTCATAAAAAACTCTTGCCCTGGATCAAAAAACTGACCCTTTTGGATCTGATGGCGTATTTAGATCTTTACCTCGTGATCGCCACCCTGCCCTCCCTCATGAGGAATAGTCATTGGATTATCCGGAGGATAAACATGAATAGCAAGCAAATTATGAGCATTGGGAAGCACTATATTAGTGACGTCAAGAGAATGCCTTTGGAACATCCCTCTTGGCAGGTCGTTTCTGTGCCCATTTAGATACATCTCGACATAGTAATTGATTGCGCAGAAATTCAGATCCACAAACTGTGTGCTTGATAGATTACACCGAAAAGTTGTAAAGAGCCAAAATGTATAGTACTGCCTTCCGGAGTCAGAAATGTCTATAATGTAGTCGTTTTGCAATGCGTAGAAAGGATCAGGTAAATCTTTCCCCTTTACCAAGGTTGCCAGAATAGTTCCGAGAATGATGGCCTCCATCCAAGGAAGGTCGAGGGAGAAAGGGTGGTGGTGAGCTGGGTACCAGTGACGGTGACTTCCCTGTCCCTGGTGCTGATCCACCCCGAGTCCAGAATCGTCTTCCCTATCGCCGCCATTAAGCTCCAGCTAGCTCTGTTCAGCTCTCTCTCTCTCTCATGTTTTACCTGGGATGGTGCTGATGGCGTGAAAGCTTTGCTCTTGCCTTGACAAATGGCTGGATCTGACGGAACGCCTGATGGGGAGCTGGATTCGAAGTTCAGAGAAGCAATGGCGGGCCTGACGGCTTAGCAGTCGGAGAGTTTGATTTGAATCTCCACAACGTCGACATTCCATAGTACCCAATTATGAGTTGTGGTTCTATGAGGAACTTCATGGGTCATTAGGTTCCGCCACGGTAGGAGGTTGTCGTACTGGGTCTTGAACTGGATCTGCTTGTCATCCCTGACTGGCTCTTACTCGACGGAGGAGTCGAGCCGTCGAGCCATTCAGATCTACTTGTCGTTGTCACTGGGCAGAGAGTAGAGTCATTGTGTCGAAAGCTACGAAGAGCTTCGGAACTGATTATGAAAAGATCACTTTCTGTTGAGGGAACAAGTATTGAAATAGATATTTGTGGAGCATTTGAAGAAGATCAGTGCGAGACAGACAAAGATGATAAGTTGGGGTTTTATTCGTATGATTCAGATACGGAGTGAACTAGAAAATTATGGTGAGAAAGACGAGGGTGGGGATGCGTTGTGCCAAGATTCTGATGATCTGAAGGCTTATTCTAACCAATCCAATTGTACGACTCTCCCCGAAATGCACCAAGTACAACACCAATAAATAAAACCCCGAGAGAGAGATGGAGGGTTTTCTGGAAAAAAATCCAAAAGTGAGGTTTTGGGCTATTGGGTTTTTCTGGGAAAGCTTTAGGTTGTTGGATTTTTGCAGGTTTTGCAGATTCACAATGGTGAGATGAAAAATTGAGAGAGGACCAACATAGCTTTTCGTTTCGATTCCCACAGACGGCGCCAAATGTTGATGCATAAAACCGGAGGTCTTGGAACAACGTAAATCCAACCGTGAATCTGCAAGAAAGTAAATAACACAAGATGTATCGTGGTTCACTCCAAGGTTTGGGCTACGTCCATACTAATTATGTATTTATCTGAGGAAGAGAGAGCTCTGAGAGTGAGAGCTTAAAGAGGAAGTGAGGAGCCTTAGGCATTGGCCTCTCAAATGGCCTCCCCTAATTGTGAGGGTAAGGGGTCATTTTATAGAATAAGGACTCCTCACTTATTACATATTTGCCCATTCTCTTATCACATAATTACATTTAAGTCCCTCGAGTATTTGTACGAGATCTAAATACGAGGCCCTAAATATGGTATAAACATACTATAATATAGGGCCCACTTTAAAACAGTGTTCTAAAAATCGGCCTAGGCGACTGCCTAGGCGCTGGGCGGAGACCAACCACCCCAATTAACTCATAATCGGTTGCAAAATCGGATAAAGTATTAGATGGATGTTGGGCATGATTAGGCAGGTCTAGGCGAAGCTATGCAAGTTTGCGCGGGGCTGGGCGGAGTCTAGTTGGCCGTATTTGAAGACGCCGGAACCAAAAAAAAATTTGAATTTGGAAAAGTCAGGTTGTAGAGTCAAGAGGAAGAAGATGATTGATGGGGTTCATCTTTTTTTTTTTTTTTTCAATTTAAATGGACAAATGTTGTCTTTATGGTCCCACCACTCCTGTTTGGTTCCACGTTTCCACTATTTTATGTTATTTTATTTCTGTTTTTTTTTTGGGTCAATATTCTTTTGTTTCTTTTCTCACCCAAATCAATCATCATTTTTTACTTTTTAAATATTTTTGCATTGTTTTATTATTCCTTTTCCTTTTCCTTTTAAGACCATTTATATTAAAAACCCTAACATTACATATATATTATTTTAAAAAAAACATATTATTTTTATATAATAAATGTAGGGAATTGTTATTGGCACTCCAAAAATCTTATTTTGCACTCCAAACTTTCTATAATTAGAAAGAAAAATACACTTGTGAAGAGTGTAGAATGAGATTTGTGGAGTGCTAATAACAGTTCCTTAAATTTAAATTTTATATTAAATTAACTTAAATCCGCCTAGGCGCTAGGTCCCTTCTCGCCGTCCGACTAGCGCCTAGCGTCTTTTAGAACATTACTTTAAAATAAAATAAATAGTAAAATTATTTTTAAAGCTTTATCTTGTAGTGGATGATGGGCCCCACCAATTAAAAATAAATAAAATAGAAATAAATGTAGCGTCAAAATTGATGCTAGAGATCTTGTTGTCATTCCATGTTAGCTAAAAGACTTTTCGGTTGGAGCAATATTTACTGTAAAAAATGATTAGTTGACATTCGACCTGATTTGGCTTCTCCTTTGAAGATGGTCTACTATGTCAATTGAGTTCACATTTATTGCTAGCAAGTTTTGATTTAACAACCTAATAATATAACTAAGAAGACAATATCGTTGATATGACATATAAATTTGACTGTAGATGTGATACTATTCCAATTAGGAGGTTTCACGTCTCTTCTAGTCAATGGTTGCATCATGATTGTAATATAACATCCCATAGTTTAATCTAATTCAGACGAATTTGTAATTGCAAATGACATTTTGATTTGCGTATTTATTTAACAAATTTTTTTTTTCTCAACGAGGTCTACTATGCGTGTGCATGTTTGCTCATGTCCTATGGCTATTTCCATGACTACACAGGAACTCCAACCCGGAGGAAAAGGACGAGGAGAGAAGAATAATAGTTGGCCTTTGGCCATCAATTTAGCCCAGAAAATAATTTGGGCCGGCTGTGGTTAACGTCTTGTTCACATTCTGTGCACTCCTGTCTTCTCCAGCTAGCTCTTCCTCTAAACCCTAAACCCTAAATTACCAGAAGCTTTACCGGTCACCAAAACAACCCAGTTTCAAGCAGAGCCAAAGCCGACGAAGAACAATGGAGCCCGCTACGCTGACGAACTCAACGGACCTGAAGATTGGGGAGCTCTTGAAGGAGGTCCAGCTCGACTATTCACCTGCATTCACCAAGGCCGTGGACGATACCGTTTTAGCCATAGAGTCTGGTTTGACACTAGCATGCATAGACAAATGTAGAGATGGTGGATTTGAAGAAATTTTTATGACCACAGTGGACTATCCTGTAAAATATGACCACATCATAAGGTGTATACATATTAGCAATAGTATGGCTCTTATTGAAGTTGTCTTTGTTGGTGTATAACCCTTTAGCTGAAGCTTGGCAGCAAGAATCATGTCTCTATGTTTTGTTTCTGTTTAAATGTGAGCCATTGGATCATAGTCCACATGGCACTTTAATCTTGTATCTAGCCTAAGTAATAGAATAAGCCAAGTGGCATCATCTCATAGGATGATAGCAATGAATGGCTAAGATTGTATTGTATGTTGAAGAGTGAAGGATCTCCCTTCCTTCTTCATATAACGGTTAGATTGTATTGTGTAAAATGTCAATGAAATTCGAAGAGACATCTTTGCAGCTTCTTCTCTCTGAAACTCTCTCCATCTTTGAAGACAACCTTCATTGAAACACATACTGAAAACACACACACAAACACTAACATGGCCTCAGAGCCTGGTTTCATCGTCTAATCTGGGCGTGAAATCTGTGCGATTGAGCTACATCTTTGAGCTTCAATCGAATCTGGAAATTGTGATTTCGTGTATCCAAGTCTCATATGGCTGGGTCCGGCAATGTCGAGCTTAGAGCTCCCGTCTTCAATGGAGAGAACTATGAATTTTGGAGGATTCGTATGACAACTATACTGAAATCGTATGGTTTGTGGGAGCTGGTAGAAAATGGGTTTGAACCACCAGATCCGAAGTCTGAGAAAACTGTGGTCGATGAGACAAAGAAAGAGACGACGGATGGAGTGTCGTTCAATGAGATCTTGATGAAGGATGCTCATGCGCTTGGAATGATACAAGGTGCAGTATCGGATCAGATCTTTCCCAGAATCGTGAATGAAGAGACATCCAAAGGAGCTTGGGATGTTCTAAAGGGTGAATTCCGAGGAGATAAACAAGTAAGAAATGTAAAATTGCAAGGTTTACGTAGAGATTTTGAATATACTCGTATGAAGGATAGTGAATCATTATCTGTGTATCTCTCTAGATTGTTTGATATTATTAATCAAATGAAAAGTTATGGAGAAGAGCTATCTAGGGAGAGAATTGTGCAGAAATTACTTATCAGTCTTCCGAAAACATATGATGCAATTTGTTCTGTAATTGAGCATTCTAGAGATCTTGAAATTATTGAGGTTCAAGAGGTTGTAGCTTCTCTCAAAGGATTCGAACAGAGGCTTGATTTACATACAGAGTCTTCGACTGAGAGGGCATTTGCAAGTTTAAATGTAGCATCTAAGGGTGTTAAAAGTGGTGGATTTTCTGGGAATCAAAGGTCTCAAGAGAGCTGGAAATCAAGGGGAAAAAATTGGGATTATAAACCAAACCATGTTCAGAAGCAGAGTAATACTCAAAGGAATTGGGATCACAAACCCAATTATCCTCAGAGACAGAACAATACTCAAAGGAATTGGGATCATAGGCCTAACTATGTCCAGAAGCAAAACAATGCTCAGGGTGATTGTAAGTGATGTGACAGGTTGCACTATGGGAAGTGTTGGTATGAAGGTAAACCAAAGTGCACAGGCTGTGGTAAGCCAGGTCATTCTATGAGAGACTGTCATGAGAATAAAGGAGTGCAGAAAGTTAATTATGTGAAGCAAATGGGAGAAATATGATCACTGTTTTATGCCTACAATGCAGTGACCGATGTGCAAGTCAATAACTCATGGTACATTGATAGTGGTTGTAGTAACCACATGACAGGAGATGAGAGATTATTGGTCAATATTCAGAGAGATTTGACCTCCAAAGTAAAGATGGGAACTGGAGAAATTTGTCAAGTGGCAGGAAAGGGAACCTGGGTGATTGAAACTAAGTGGACTTGAGGAAAATCTTCTAAGTGTAGGACAAATGATGGAAAACGGTTATTATTTGTTGTTTGGAGGTGATGTAGTGAATATTTTTTATGGATGGTCACTGGATAATTTAGTAGTGAGGGTACATATGACCAACAATCGATGTTTTCCTTTGACAATGTTGCCTGCAACACAGTATGCACTAAGAGCAGGTATCACACATTGTTCTCAGATATGGCATAAGAGGTTGGGTCATTTGAATGAGAGAAGTCTCAAGGTACTTGAAGAACAGGGGTTGGTGCATGGATTACCTAAACTAGAAATGTCCCAAAGTGTGTGTGAAGGTTGCATGTTGGGTAAACAACACAGAGACTCATTCCCTTCTCAATCGACTTGGAGAGCTAAAGATCCACTGGAGTTGATTCATACAGATATCTGTGGTCCAATGCAAGTAGAGTCTCATTCTGGAAACAAATATTTTTTGTTGTTTACAGATGACTGCACAAGGATGTCATGGGTGTATTTTTTGAGAAACAAGTCTGAAGCGTTTGAATGTTTCAAAAAGTTCAAGGCAATGACTGAGTTACAATGTGGATATAAGGTTAAATGTCTCAGGAGTGATCGAGGAGGAGAATTCCTTTCTGCAGAGTTTGACAAATACTGTAATGGACAAGGAATTCAGAGACAATTGACTATGGCCTACACTCCTCAACAAAATGGAGTGTCCGAAAGAAAGAATAGGAATGTGGTAGAGATGGCAAAGTCAATGCTACATGAAAAAAACCTTCCATATGCATTTTGGGCAGAAGCAGTGAATACTGCAGTCTATTTGATCAATAGGTGTCCTACCAAAGCTTTGAAGAAGTCAACCCCATTTGAAGCTTACAGTGGTAGAAAACCTGGAATAGCTCATTTGAAGATATTTGGCTCATTGTGCTATGTGCATATACCTTCTAATCTCAGACATAAACTGGAAGAAAACAGTCACAAGTGTATCTTTGTAGGCTATGGTTCAAGTGAGAAGGGCTACAGATTGTTTGATCCCATTTCAAGAAAGATTGTTCTCTCAAGGGATGTCACATTTGATGAGGATAATTTTTGGGATTGGAACTGCAATATAGATACTGGAGTGACATTTCCAGTTATCACTGAACATAAGAATGCTAATGAAATCTGTGAGGTTGATGAAAATTCTCAGTTTGAAGAATACAATGTTTCTCAAAGTGAGAATGTGCCTGAGAGATCTCCAACTTATGATGATACACCGAAGAAATGGAGAAGTATCAATGAAATCATGGCTCAATGCAACATGTGTGTTATTGAACCAGAAAGTTATGAGGATGCAGCTAAAGATGATTCATGGAGGAGTGCAATGAAAACTGAATTGGACATGATTGAGAAGAACAACACATGGCAGCTTGTTGAGAGACCATATGACAAGTCTGTTATTGGTGTTAAATGGGTCTATAAGACCAAACTTAATCTAGATGGCACTGTGCAGAAGAATAAAGCTCGGCTGGTGGCTAAAGGCTATTCACAAAAGCCCGGAATCGACTATAATGAAACTTTTGCCCCTGTGGCAAGGTTGGATACGATTAGAACTTTAATTGCCCTTGCTGCACAGAAGAAATGGAACTTGTATCAATTAGATGTAAAGTCTGCATTTCTCAATGGGGTACTGAAAGAAGAAGTGTATGTGAGCAACCTCAAGGCTTTGTGAAGGAAAGTGAAGAAACAAAGGTGTACAAGTTAAACAAGGCTCTATACGGCTTGAAACAAGCACCAAGAGCCTGGTATGACGAGATTAATGCATACTTCAATAGTGCAGGGTTTGAGAAGAGTTCAAGTGAGGCAACTTTGTATGTTAAGACAAGTAAGGACTCAGGTATCATTATTGTCTCTCTATATGTAGATGACATTGTATATACTGGTAGCAGTCCACAAATGCTTGAAGAATTTAGAAATGACATGATGAAACACTATGAGATCACTGACTTGGGTTTATTACATCATTTCCTTGGAATGGGTGTGCTGCAAACTTAGAACAGCATTTTTATACACCAAAAGAAATATGCACAGAAACTAATTGAGAAGTTTGGTCTGAAAGAATGCAAATCAGTTGCTACTCCACTTGCAATGAATGAGAGGTTGAGCAAAGTTGATGGAAGTGAACCTGCGGATGAAGGAGAATATAGGCAGCTTGTTGGAAGTCTGCTCTATTTAACTGCAACTAGACCTGATGTGATGTTTGCAGCAAGTATATTGGCAAGGTTCATGCATAATCCCACTAAGAAACATATGGGAACAGCTAAGAGGGTACTGAGATACATCCAGGGAACAATCGATTTTGGTATTGTCTTTGAAAGGGGAAAAAGTACTACCCTAATCGGCTACTGTGATAGTGATTGGGCTGGAAGTGAGGATGATATGAGAAGTACTTCAGGGTATGCATTCACACTAGGATCTGGTATGTTCTCATGGGCTTCAATCAAACAAAATACTGTGGCACTGTCTACTGCAGAAGCAGAATATGTTAGTGCAGCAGAGGCTACATCACAAGCAAAGTGGCTGAGATTTGTTCTAGAAGACTTTGGAGAAGAACAAGTGGAAGGAACTCAGATCTTGTGTGATAATACATCAGCCATTGCTATGGCAAAGAATCCAGTCTTTCATCAAAAGACAAGACACATCAACAGGAAGTTCCACTTTATCCGAGAAGCAATTCAAGCCAAAGAGATTGAGTTAGTGTACTGCAGGACAGAGGAGCAGATTGCAGATATACTTACTAAGGCTTTACCTAAAGATCGATTTGTGTATCTAAGGGAGCTACTTGGAGTTAAATCAGCCAAAGGGTTAGAAGGGAGTGTTGGTGTATAACCCTTTAGCTGAAGCTTGGCAGCAAGAATCATGTCTCTATGTTTTGTTTCTGTTTAAATGTGAGCCATTGGATCATAGTCCACATGGCACTTTAATCTTGTATCTAGCCTAAGTAATAGAATAAGCCAAGTGGCATCATCTCATAGGATGATAGCAATGAATGGCTAAGATTGTATTGTATGTTGAAGAGTGAAGGATCTCCCTTCCTTCTTCATATAACGGTTAGATTGTATTGTGTAAAATGTCAATGAAATTCGAAGAGACATCTTTGCAGCTTCTCTCTCTGAAACTCTCTCCATCTTTGAAGACAACCTTCATTGAAACACATACTGAAAACACACACACAAACACTAACAGTCTTTTGTGTGTACAATGATCTTGCATCAGCATTGAATGTGATATTGCATTATACCTTTTTTTTTTCCTGCTTGTGGTTTGATTTACCCGTTTTGTTTACATGTTTGATCTTTTAGGTTGAACTTAAAGGGGAACAGTGCAGTTTATACATCAGGATTTTGCTTTGATGATGAATGTTGGAGATTGTATGAGCAGAAGGTGCAGAGTGTTTTAATTCAAGGGTTGAGTGACAGAGTGAAGACTGTACGTGTTACCTGGAGAAATATTTTATCAGACCACATCATAAAAAATGTACGTCATCCAGTGTTTTACTTTATCATCTTTTATCAAACATATGTTTATGTAGCAGATCAATTTGTTTAAATTTGACTTGTCACTCCAGGGATTGTCAACCCTGAATTGGAATTTCCGAGAGCTCTCTGGAGAAAGCTTTTAGGCTTGTTGATATTGGTCCAGATGCTGATAATAAAGAGGAGGTATATGAGTACCTGTTTGGAATCATATGTCGATTTCTTCTTTTGTTGCATGTATTCAGTTTACTATGTTCTGTGTAGGCTCTTTAATTCTGCAAGTTCTGGGGGGAAAAGTCGGAGCTCAGGAGATTTAAAGATGGTAAAATTGCAGAAAGCACAGGTTAGTCATTTGTTTTGGCTTTTTTCGTTCTTCTGTACTTGACCTTAGTTGTATCAGTATCATTTACGTGCTTTCCTTACTCTTGCTAAAATCAATTGTCAAGATGACTAAAATGTTGACACTGTTTCCTTAGTTTGGGAAAGTGAGCAATGGAGAAGACATATTATCTTAAAAGGGATTTCCGAGTATGTGCTTCAGCGACATCTTTCTGTATCAAAAGAGAATATAATGCACATCGTGGATCAACTTGATTTCTCATTGCTATATGGTGCTGGAGGTAAACTAGAATAATTCGTTATTGTCTTTGTATGTGATTTCAATATAATTCTCATCTTTGTTTTATTTTTTGCTTTATGGTAACATTTCAATTCTTTCAGATCCTATATCATCTTCTGGGAATTTGCTTGGGGTATTTGAAATTCTATTGAAGCGCTTGCGGCTTCTTGAAGACATTCCACTGAAGGTTTCTACTGTGCAGCCCCTAGATTCAGGTATAATTGCATGGCTGGAAAAATCAATTTTAAATGACTAGCTTCAATTGTCAATTCCAAATATTTGATTATGCGTTGTTTTTTCATTATTATATTATGAGATTTGTGGATGTGATATTATGTTTGTTTGGGATATGAAAGTTTTTAACTTCTGCTGCATTTTGCCTTAGATCAGTTTGTTGTTACATGTTGTGATCATTAAAATCGATCCTCTTGTTTTCATAATTTTACTTTGAATTTTTTTTCTGGAATGCACTCATTATCTTATCCCTTTTCCTTCTCTGTATAACTCGTCAAAAGTTTTGAGAAGAATGATAATATAATTTGATTTTCAACTGGATTTTCCATGACCCTCTTCACCCCTATATGCAGCTTTCAGGTTTTCATCTGTCTTCCCACCTGAACCTCATCTGCTTGCTAATGAGAAGGGTGCTTTTGTAAGCCTACATAGGTTCACTCCTTCCTGCATTCATCCGCTGGAAGTTATGATCCAGGCACGTCACAATACGCAATAACTGTTAATAACTTTTTTATTTATTATTTTTCAGTCAGTTAATGAAGCCTTATTACTTGATCTAATTTAGTTGGAAGGTTCTGGAAACTGGTCAATGGATGATGTAGCAATTGAGAAAACTAAATCTGCCTTCCTTCTCAAGATTGGAGAGAGGTGGGCAAACTAGGATTACTAATACTCAATTTGATTTTACTTTCTATTGAATAGTTATCTGATGATACTATTTTACTTTCTATTGAATAGTTATCTGATGATACTATCATATAGCAGTCTCCAGAATAATTGGGGGATGACATGTACCGCTACAGAGGATGATGTGGATGTTTTTGTTTCTGGATATGCATTTCGCCTGAAAATTTGGCATGAGAGAGGCCCGACTTTGTTGAGACAGGAAAGTAAGAACTCTTGAGTCATGTATCATTACATATTCACCACTGGGATGTTAGATTCTTTTTCCCTTTTTGAGAAGGATGATAGCTTCTTTTGATGCTGACCCCTTCGACTTCTTACTGGCTACAGCGGGAAATGATCAAGTGAAGCACGTCTATAATACAGACAGAGAACTTTATTTCCGGAGTCAACATTCCAGCATGATTAATGGATTACAGGGTTTTTATGCAGCATATGGGCCAGTTGTTAGGTGAGTTATAGCATTTGCATTCTCATTTATTTCTTATTGTTTTATCTGTTGCTGCATATAACTTTTTTTGGTTTCATGTGAAGGCTTGCTAAGCAGTGCGTAGCTTCACATCTGTTTTCGGCTTGCTTGAGGGAGGAGGCAATTGAACTATTGGTTGCATACGTCTTTTTGAAGCCTTTACCATTCAGTGCTCCGTGCTCACGAATCACTGGATTTTTGAGGTTGATATTTATATAACTCGTTTCCAGGGCATTTTGGATAGTTCTCACCGACACTTCTGCTTTAAAAGATGGATTCTCTAAATGGCTTGATTTCACTTTTGAATTATGAACATCAAGTTACATAATTCCAAATTAACTGGCAATTAGATAAACACTATGATGTAGCACATACACTTGCAAACAATAATTATTGTCAAACTTTAATAGTGTATTTCACGCTCTCATATGCATGGTAATTCTGTCAACAGGTTCCTGCGATTACTATCAGATTATGACTGGAATTTTTCTGCACTAGTTGTTGACATAAGCAATGATTTGACTCCCAAAGATATGAAAGAGATAAATGTAAGTTCTTCAGCTAAGTAATAAACTCTGATCCATGTCGATCTCTTGCTTTCTTGATTTTATTATTTTCTTTTTTTGGTTACAATTTTATTATTTTCTTGACTGCTACTATTTGGCGTTCAATTTCAGGAGAATTTTATGTCAAGTAGAAAAACTAATGAAGAAAATGTGCAAAGTGTAAAGCCAGCAATGTTCTTGGCTACAACTTACGACAGGGCATCCGAGGCCTGGACCAGATTCTCAGTAAACTCAATGGTAGTTTAATTGGTGTCTTTTTCAACACTGTTAATTTTCTTTAGTAAATTCTTGACGCTCCCTCTAGTAATCAGGCCTGTGATACTTTTCCCCTGAGCCGATCCTGGTTTTTTTAAATTTTACCGGCATTTCAATGCATTCCTTTTCTATAAGAGTGCATTCTCATTTCTTCAGTCATGTCAGAATACTAGTTTGAAACTCAGTTCCATGAAATTGTTAATTATTGACATAGAGGACTTTCTTTTGTTATTTTGATGATTGTAATAAAAATTAAGATTTGTTGATACCATTGGTCGACAGAACATTCAAACGAATAATCTCCCATAGAATTTTTTATTGCTGGCACTCTAGAAATCCAAGTGCAGCAACTCCTTTTATAGATATGTTATTTAGCATTGCTTATACATTTTGATCTTGTTGAATACGTAGGAGTTAAAAAGGTTGATGGCTTATGCTGGAAGCAGTGCAAACTTGTTGACCAAACTGATTTCGGAGGATCATAATGATAATTATAGATGGGAGGTGAGCCTGATAAATTTTATTGATAGTGATCCGCGAATTGTTTTACCTTGATGTGTATTTGATGTATGCAAAATATTAATGTTTAGTTTTTGATTTGCAGTGCCTTTTTCGAACTCCTTTGAACAGTTACGATGCGGTTATTCTTCTCCACAGAGAAAAATTACCTTACCCCCAACATCTTCTCTTCCCATCTGAATTAAATCAAGGTATATTCCTTACGTTAACCCCGGTGTTTGCATGTCCTCAGCATTATGTTGTTCTCTCTCCTTTTCTAACAATGCCATACTCAAATTTTAGTATATCCGCAGAGTTTTAATGAGCATATTTACACAGGCACAGGGGTACATGTGGCACGTGGGAATGCGAGCATGGTTTTCCACCCATTTCTGTTGCCTGGAGACATGAAAGGAAACTCGGAGGCACTACGAAATAAGCTATTGGTAGACTTTGATCCACTGAGGTGCTTTGTTGGGGATCTAGAGGCATGTATTATGTGATGCCTTAGTTTTGACCATGACGCCATTGCTTTCAGTTTTATGTTTCTGGTCACTGTCGTCTTTGCTTACATCCTTGTGTCTTGAATGTAGAAAGAGTACCCCAACACCTTCAAGCTGTGGAATGATTCTCTGGGTGGTGATGCTGTTGGCATAACGTGGGCGAGATATGGTTCAAAGGTATAATTGGATCCGTTGTAACTGAATAAATGTGCATTCCAAAACGACATTGAAAGCTTTAAAAAAATCGTTTGCTATCTAGACTTCCTAATCAGTTTTATTTTCGGATCCTAATATTTGCAGAAACGAGGGCGGGAAGAAGCAGAGGAAGTAAAAGATCCAACTGATTTATTAAAAGACATCGGTAAAGTGGGAACAGGGTTTGTGAGGGGGGTTTATCTTCTCAAAGCCCCAAGGCTCACTAGTTAACTCTGTTTATATTCTAAAATGCTCAAAGCTTCACGGGTGACAACACTTTTCTCGTGAGCTACTGCTGCTTTTCGACATGAAGAGCAATCCTCGGTGCGCCCCTACAATACTCGCAACAGAGATAACTTCCCCAGTTAAGGAATCTTGTTTGTAACATGTGTATTATTTGGTTGACTGGTAAATGCAATATTCGTAATGAAGTAAAGGAAATTATTTGTATAGTTGTATGTGTGCCATGAGAATTGCACTATCTGAAACTGTATCACGTTACAATTAACGCCTTGAGAGCGGCATTTTTGTTGATGAGAAGTTCGATTGAACTGTTCGTTACAAAGGTTATACTCGTATTCTTATTCTTTTTTGAAAGAAGATATTACTCTCTGAAATAATGTATGTAGTCTTTTGACTGGGTAAAGTAGAAAGAGCGTTTACACTAGTACTCGAGGTGGAAAGAGCGTTTACCCTTGCACTCGAGGTGGGCATTTTCACTAACGATTAACCATGATACTCAAGAGAAGAATGATATATAAAAAATGACCGGGTGAAGAGTTTTCGGAAATTGTAGATTCATCAGCAGCAGCCATGTTTCGAATAAGAACCCGATCACAACTCCACCACAATAGTTAGACTGCTTCCTGAATGAGTTTTTCTGTGAGTTGTTTAGGCAATCCCATAGCCGTTTCAGTCGTTCCTATCTGCAGCAAACCAAATGAAGCACATTGCAAACGAATTTGGATGGACAGATGAAGACACAGCTGAGGTCAACTACTTTGATCGACAAAATGGTATATGGAGGCCAAAACTCGAGCATGTTTGGTTGTTAGTTCAATCTCGGAATAAGAAAGAAAATTTAGAACCCATTAGCAAAAGCGAACAAGGCTGAAAGAAAACGTGCTTCGGCCTCAGCTTGAACCATGACCAATTCGTTGGGCTTATCCGTCCTTATACTTTTTTCATCAATATCTGCAGTCTAAAACTCACAAACCAAATCAGCAATTTCAAAAGCTAACCCATTTAACCAAGAAAAAAGATTGATTCTTTGATATAATTACAATGTACCATGACTGTGAACCCGTATCCCATCTCCGCCCTCTTAAATTTCAGGTAGACGGGTCATGAGCCCACTCTAACAACACCGATACTGTCCCTACTTGGTTACCTACTCAATTCGTCAGGTGTGAAGTTTTAATACAAAAAGCCTCGGTATTAGTTAGAGTAGGGTAATTCTATATAAATGGCTTGTTCTCAAGCCTTATGGCCGATGTGGGACAAAGGAATTCTAACACTCCCCGCACATGAGACCCCATTTTATGGGTCACACGTGGAGTTCCACACATCAGCAACCACGTGGAGCCAAGTCGGGGCTCACCCGTTCGTGTTGGGCCAATGCATGTGGCATCTCTTGGCCTATGTAGAGCCAAGTCAAGGCTCACCCATTTGCGCGAGGTCAAAGGGGACCCATCCGTTCACGTGGATGTACGGATCCATCCCTTGGCTCTGATACTATCTTAAATTTCAGTTAGACGGGGCATCGGCCCACTCCAACAACACCGATACTGTCCCCACTTGACCACCTGCTCAATCCATCAGGTGTGGGATTTTAATACAAATGACCTCAGTGTTAGTTAGAGTGAGGTAATTCTATATAAATGGTTTGTTCTCAAGCCTTTTGGCCGATGTGGAACAAAGGAATTCTAACACCACCAATATTTGCCGATGCGCCGCTGACGCCGACCGGAATATTATCTGTCTCAAAAAAGATCAAAAATTGCCGCTAATTTTCACTTCCTTTAAACACCGAATCTAACCCGGCAAAGGGCATTGTCATTTATTCGGGATTTAGCGACGAACCTGAAATGACATCTTTGTCCGTCTGCTTTCACTTTCGGCTTTCTCGGAGGGAAGAATTTGCAACACTATTGCCATGACTGTGCACTTTCCGTTTTGGGCCTAACGGGTTCAAGTTGGCCCGGTTCAATTCGAATCTTCCACCGAATATATCCTACAGAAGAAACGACGTCGTTTTTATCCGTTGCCGCCTTTACATTCCGCCCCAAATCTGCGTCAGTTTATAGTTTTTACCTCCTTTTTAACCTTCTCTCACCTTTCTGCTCAGCTCATTTGTGCTCCAAACACCGCACCGACGTCGTTTTCGGGTGAAATCAAGGGCGCCGATGAGTTCTTGTAGCAGGAAGAAGAATTTCGGGAGCGGCAGCTTCGTATCGAATTTGAGGGATCACATTCATGAATTTCTTCATGCTTCCATGGATGAGCACAGAACTTGCTTGAAAGAGACGGTGCAGAAGGTACGATTTTACCCTCACTCTCTCTTGTTTGCATTGCAATGGCAGATTCCTGTTTGTGAATTATTGGGCAATTTGGGAAATAAATTTGATGTTTGGGTTTTGGTCCAAAGCAGATGTTTGAAAGGGCAAAACTTTACAGAGAAAAGAGTGGCAGCGGACCAAACGAAGGAGAAAAGCCCCTGCCTTTGCAAACCACTACAGATTAGGAAGAATTTGCAAGCTTTTCTATTTTCTGGGTTGCAGAGAAAAAAGAGTACTGTAAGACAAATTTGATATCTTTATCTTTAGCATCTGTATAGGTTCTGTTTGAAACAATAGTTTGACGAATGACATTGAAATGCTAGCGTCAGTTACTCATGCGTTGGAGTTTCATTGATGTAGGTCTCACATTGACTTCATATTTCATTCAATTGCTAGAAATTGTCCATGCGAATGTGAGTGACCGGAGCAAACTTTTTGATGACTCGAATAGTCGTTCGTTGGATGGCATTGAATTTGATTTAACCGGTTATTTACACCCTTGCGATACTAGTGTTTGGTGTGAATCTAATTTATTGTTTTTTTTTTTTTTTTTGAGCAAAAATTTATTGTATTAAGTTAAGGATTTGGTAGCCACTAGCCAATTATAGTTATATGCTATTTAATGCTTCCTTTCTTTAATTTTTAACCTAAGATTTCTAGCCCCTAATCCCACCCCACCTTGTGCAACTGGGGCTAATGATCATGTGCTAATACATGCTCTCTTTAATTAATGATGATTATAAATAAATAAATAAATAAGCAATTGCATCTGTGGTGATTCTTACTTGTTACATGTGCAAACAAGACAAAGAAAAGTATGCTACATTTAGAAGTTACGGGAAAAAAATAGGAGGGAATGGGAAGGGAGTAGAGATATAGGTTAATTGCTAATTTGCTAGATCCACTTCAAGAGGAAATTGGTGCCGTGTCTACTGCTGGAGGGCGTCTTCCTTTAGAGCTTTAGGGCCTTTAGCCTGTAGAAGGTAAACGGAAGTTATTATACAGGATGCTTATAATTTTTTCTGAATTAAGTGCTTTCTAGTGCTGAAAATTAATTATCATCGGTGAACAGATTTTCTGCCAGTATAGGAACAAATGATATGAGCGAGGGAGAATAGGAACAAATGATATGAGTGAGGGGTAAGGAGTGAGTAGCTGAATAATGTCATTGTCATGTACCCTCATCAAATTGAGAAATAGATATTGGGATTGACATTATATTCATGCTATTACATCATTGGCAGTGAGTTAATAATGCATGTTGATAGTGCAACTCTGCCTATGAAGAGTGAGGGCAATGCAAAATGAAGAATGAGAATGTTAGTATCAAATTGTAGCCTGAGAGGTTTATGACCAGAAATTATTATATTTATATTTTGAGTATGGATTTAATACAGAAGTGAGCTTCACTGATTTTGTTGGTTATATATCTCGTGGACATGAATACCTTAAGGTCTATATATGGTCAATTAAGGACTTACAAGCAGTAATTCTATTCTTCATCTTATCAAGTAATAAGGAGAAAAAAGTGTATTACCTCTTTTCTTCACCAGTGATGCTGCTTTCTCTGGCTTTCCTATACTTAGGAAGTGGAACTTTGCCTGACTCAATGCGGTTGATGTCCGCTAGAAGGATCTCATACTGCCTCTTCACTTCCTCCTCAGTCGTCCCTCCAACAACCCTGGCAATATTATGCCAACGATCAGGGGTTTCCCTATCATATGTTGCCAGAGCGATTTCAAATGATTTGTTTTGTTTGGCTGTCCAAGTTGAATTGGAGTGTGGAGAAGAAGGCGTGCTAGGTGCCATTTTTATGAGATATTAGAGCAAGATTAGTAGGGTGGAGCTGGAAGTGACGAGAACCAAGTTTCAGTAGGATATTTAAGAGAGAACGAATTTGGGCGATGAAAGGGATCAAAGAAATTTAAAGAGAAAGCCGGAGGCAGAGAAAACAAATAGTGTAGAAAGTAAAATATGAATAAAGGTAGTGTGGTACTCTAAGTCAAGCGATTAGCTAAGATGAGACCAAAGAATTACAGTTCGTACAAATGAGATGATGCAAGTTGGCAAGGATAGCATATTATAAAACTTTATGTGCTTAGAATAAGCAGCAGAAACTAGGAACAGATAGATCTCTAAGGACAGTAATTTGCTTCCCCTTCAAGTTTTTACTTTTTTATGAGTGGAAGTACGATGATCTAATATAAATATTATATAAGCATGTGTGATTTCATAAGTAGAAAGAATCATTAAACATAGTCAAAAGAAGTGAACCCTCTAACTTTTTGAGAATTCTTAGATGTCAGCGTGAAGCCTTTTTTTTTATAATTAAAAAATGCAATCCTATATCGAAAACTTGACAGAATAAATTAAAGCTTATATTGAATCATTCTACTCTTAATCGTATCAAGGTCTTTTGTGATAAAACTCAACACTTGCAGGGATGTGCAGATGGTTAGGTTGGGATAGTATCAGTGTTATTAGTAGTGGGTTGCTTGACTGACTGAAATCTTGAAATTCTTTCCTTAAATTTATATCATTGCAAAACAGTGTTGGTTAAGAGAATTTGGATATACCTGCTTAGTTAATTTCTGATGTCTTAGTTTCCTAGGAAATGAATGTAGAGCTGTAAAATCCAGTTGTGTGTTCCAAACAACTTCTTTCTTGATATTTATTGATACAAAAGAAGCAACTGTTATAAACATGTGTATGTGTGCATCCTTGAAGCATTTGTTTCCAAGACATTTCCACTTCTTAGCTCAAATCTTCCGCATGTTTATGTCATTAAATAACTTCTTCCTGGTTTTCTGGAAGTGGCAGGACCACATTGTGGTTACTTACAAGAATCAAACCACTTCTTTTTCCTAGCTACTATATAAAATTTGATGCACTCTAGTCCTACCTAAACATGTATTCTAGTTTCAGTGGAGAAAGACTTTCGTGCAACAGGGGTACTATTGTAGCGGTAACCCAAGTCAAAAAGGCATTGCCTTGTGGGAATGTTAAAACGCATGGCAGTTCGTGATTGACTTGAATTATGGCATCTCCGTTGCAGGTAAGTTCGATCATCTTTGTCACTCTACAGCCTAGAATTTGGTTTTTTGATTCACCAATGAGTTTAAAAAAAATGTGGAAGTGGTCCAAAAACGGACACAAATAAAACTTAAGAAAAATGATGTTTCTTTGTCAAGCTGCAGGTTTATAATATATACCATTTGATCAAGTGTGGAACAAATCTTTTAAACCCCATGTGAAGTTTAATCACATTTTGCTAAACTTTTCTTAGCCACCTTCCAAATCGGCGGATTTGGTAAAGGAAGTACTTCCTTTGTGTTTTTAACTTGTTCTTATGGGGTATTTTTATCCTCTTTTGAAGCAAATCGATTAGTTTAATTAGTAAAAGATAATCATGTTTAGAGAAGGTTAATTAAAATTATGTGATATGTCCTTTTGTGCTTATCTTGGGGCAATTCCCCAAGAAAGCATCTTTTGGCTTGACTAAACTCTAAACATGTGAAACTGTGTACCCTAGGCGTAGCCCTGAAGGAAACTAAAACCAAAAGTGATGATCTCCTTTGTAATTTACTTTCAGCCTTTCAGGCTTTTTACCAACTAGGAAGATACTTAATGCTTAAGAATTAGTCATTTGATAAGTTCAAACTAAACTCTATGAGAATGCATCAACATTTTCTAGCTCACAAGGAGATTCAAAGGATGAAAAAGTAAGCGGGTCGTTTATCTCGTATCGATTCGCTTTTATTTTCACTCATTCTCATATCTATTCCTTTTTATCCCCTCCATGTGTTGGTAAACGCATGGGAAGTGAAAATTCTAATTACTTTTACGGTCATCTTCTTAAAGGAGAAGGGTTTGTGTTTAAATAACTTTACTTCATACATCCATTTTTACTTCAAACATACCTCTTAATTTTCAGCTGTCAGATTGAATGAATTGAAGAAGATCAATGGCTACAATTAACAAGGGTGTGTGGGAGGTAAAAATTGGTGCGTGAATAGAACTTTCCTTTATAAATTAAGGATAAATTAATAACTGTAAGGCCTACAAATGGTGGATTGCTTCGGTAGATAGAGCGTTTCTCTTCATGTCTGGTTCGAACGCACCTGTCATGGTGTAATTTAGAGTAAAATATTGCTTGTATTAAAAAAAAAGTTATGGCTTTACAGAAGCAAACATAAGAAATACTAGTACCTGGATTGAGTTTGTACTTGTTAACTAATGGATATCATTCAATACATAGCTAGTGTACACAAGAGCCTCCTGGAAGCCTGCAAATTATTCCAAATGCAACATCTTATTGAATCGAAAAATGACGGAGAGATGCGAGGGTATCTGAACTGGGAAGAGCCTCTAGCTTGGGGCAACGACTCATTTCCAGATGCTCAAGACAAGTACAAGACTGAAGCCCGTCAACCGGTAAACGCCTCAAATTTTGAGAGTCATGGATATGCAGCGAGCGAAGAGAAGTACAAGATCGTAGTCCGCTCAGCATGCTTGTGAATCCATGGCACTCTACAATGTTCACACGATGGAGGGATGCGCAACCGTGCAAATATAACTCCTCCTCGTCAAGAGACGTTGTTTGTAGATTCTTTGAACCACGCCAATTCGAAATATGCAACTCGCAGAGGGAAGGTAAGTTGCGAATTGAAGGGGATGTGATCTTTGGACAATTTGCTATTGCCAAATCCTGAAGAGATGTGCAATGTTCAAGACCACTTGGTAGGCTTGATAATTCATCACAACCTTCAATATCCAGTGCAAGGAGGGATGGTGAAATTGGAATGGATGTCAGATTGGGGCAACAACTTATTCTCAACATCTCAAGAGCGGTGCAGTCTTCTAACCCGCTCAGCGAGCTCGACAATGTCTTGCAATCCTCAATCACCAATTCGCGGAGACATGTCTTGCCGTGCGTAACTGGAATCAACTCTAAACAAGGACAATTCCTTACAGTTAGCTTCGCAAGAAGAGGGAGTGTGTCCAGCCCCTTGTGCAATTGCCTCAGCTTTTCACAATTCCTAATAAGCAGTGACTGAAGATTGTGGTTCTCTTCCACCATCCCTGCTGGCAGACAAGTAAGCGCATTGGCGCCATGCATTTCGAGGGAAGTGAGAGTAGTTAGTCGACTGCTTATATTTTCTATTGATGCGACGCTGCCAATACAATCTAACTTCAACTTTTGGAGAGATGGAAAATGAGCAGGAGCATTTCTGAATTCTGTACAAGAAGAGAGTCAACTGCTCGAGGCAGGGAAACACCACTGGCGCTACTTTCTCATCGGTTGGCAATGGCATCACAACAACCGCTTCCTTCCATTCAATCAGAGTGATAGGAGCATATTTATGCGACTTAGTTGGCTTGTTCTTGTGCATTTATGTCGTGTTTCCTTAGTTATTTTAATGTTTAAAGTCATTTTCGTGTGTTTTCAGATTTTATGGACAAAGTAGGCAAGAAGATGCATTTTGGAGCATTTTGGAGCAAAATGGAGCTTGGAATGCATGTCACATATTTGGGCCAAAGTGGATGGACGAATTTGAGAACTAAAGAGGCCAAGAATATGAAGAATTATGGTCCAAAAGATGAAGAAAACAGCCCAAAAATCTGTCACCCCAACTTGCATTCCTTGCCATGCAAACCACATAGAATTCCCTTTGGATTCCATGCCATGCTTGATCACTCTTGTCCCCTACATAATTTCTAATTTCATGCTTCAATTCATTTAATTATTACACTCAATTGCTTGATACCTCTTGTTCCCTTCACTCATTAGATTTTAGACAACATTTACATCCATTACATGCACCAATTGATGCTCCATCATTCACATTTGGAATCCAATGCCATGTGCAACACATGTTGTTGCACCTTTGACCCATTTGTTGACACATTTCACCTCCCTTTCCATCTCTATGCAATGTACACAATCATTCATGCTCCCTAGCTACAACACCACTCCATTTTACCCTTCACACTTTGCATCATTACTTCATTTTCATCCTTGGACCATTGCACACCACACACACAAATTGCCATGCATTTCATCCTTAACCTAACCTGATTTTCTAAGGTTTTTGGGGCCTATAAAATACATGTTTACACCCCTTGGCCAAAGGACAATCCCCCATATTCATCATTTTATCACAAAAATTCGTCCTCCATACACACCCTAGGAAGCAAAACACCACCAAAAACACCAATTCTAGTGCCTAGAAAACATAACAGCCACTCCACCTTCTTCCACCCTCTTTGCCTAGTTCTCCACCACCCTCCAACCATCAAACACTCCTCCACACTCACCCTAAACCCTTCCATACCATTCCCCATCCATTCTACAACATCATAAAACTACCCAAAATCTGTCCATAACCCAATCTGCCGCAAGCAAGGGAAAAGAGGAATCTTGGATGCACTTGCTACCAAGTTGGAGCATTTTAGGTGTTTTCTTTCCTTTGATTTTAATGTCTAATTTTATGTATCTTTGCTTTGTGAGTATGAGGAACTAAACCCCTCTTAGTTAGGGGGTGATTCGAAACTAATGTTCATACTTGCAATATGATTTGATTACATCCAGTTGTGATTCATAAGTTGTGAATTCAATTTACTTATCCGTTCATATAAAAACTAATTTGTGTATGTTGGTTAAGAGTGCACGCTTAATTTTCATGCATGAATTTTGACGCTAGAATATAAGGGAGTTTCACCTAATCGTTATAAACTTATATTCACAAGTAGTGAAGGTTGCTAGTCACAATCACGTTAAGTAAACTCTTGGCATAAGTTTCATGCAAATCATAGTAACGAGTGCCTCGTCAATGCTTATGTTTTTCATAGAACTTAATGATTCTTGCTTGTATCTCTATTATGCAATTCATGTATGGAACTTGTAGGGAATGTTTTGGGTTGTCGTATGCAATCATCCAACCTAATAACTTGTGGAAAAAACTGAGGGTTAATTAGTGCAATTCACGGTTAATTTGGGACGTTGAGTATTCATAGCTTATCGAAAAGCAACTGGAAATCGTTTTGTATGCAAGTGTGACATATGTGGAGAAGAACCTCCTAGCTAATCTTCCATCCATAAGTTTCATTCAAATTCACTTACAATCTGTTTTGTTTTACAAAGTTTGTTTTGTTTTCAAATTCATTAAAACCAAAATCCCCCTTTTACTTTATTGTTTCAAAGTGTTTAATTTCTGTTTTGGTTGTGTGTTAGAGTGTTTTGATTCACCCAAATTTGTCTAAGAATTTGTTTACTTTGTTCTTGTCTTAATTTAATTATTTTCGTCGAAAATCAACCCCATCTTATTTCTTTGAGTCATATTAATTAGAACTTGTCTTAGATTATGTTTTTTTAAGTGTTTTAGTTCATTAGAAAACCAAAATTTGTCCAAGTTTGTGTGAGAGTCCCAAAATTGCCCAGATTGTGTTTTTAAGGTAGTTTTGAGTGCTTAGGGGCTGTTTTGAGTCTTTTGGTTTGTTTTAGTGTTTTAAAGTATAGTTTTGCATTCTTTGAGTCTAGTTAGTGTTTTAAACTTTGTTTTTTACGTTTTCAAGTCAGTTTCCAAGTGATTTAGCAATCCCTCCTAATCCTCGGCCTAGAACGATCCCTACTTACATACTTTACTACAATTGATAAAAAGAGGGTTTAATTTGTGTGTTTAGTTATTTTACGCATCACAGAACTGGACATTCAAGAATGTTTAAGCCTTTCAATGCGGGAAACAAAGCTGCCCCAGTCGTCCTACAACCATAAAATTCAGCTCCCAAAGATTTAAGCTTATGCATCCTGTGAGACTCAACGCTTACAAGATATGGTAAGTGGCCAAGTGCTGGGACTTGTTGGCATTGCCGGCAATTGTCTAGCCGAATCTCTTGTAAATAGAGGGTCAACAAACCACTCATCATCCACGATGCAAATATAGTACCCAGGAAGTGGACGAGCTTCAAGCTTTCTAACTTCGGGTGCGGTTGGAGGCCTACGAGTACATCATTGTAAGCATTTACGTTCCTGAAAGAATACCCCCATTCAAGCGTCAACCTTCGTATGTTTGCTTTCTCCACTGAGTTTGATTTCCTCGCCTCATCTTCGTCCCTCACATATTCCAAATTTCGAATAGTTAGTTCACCTTTCAATTGGTTTAAGCCACCCAGCTAATCAATTCCATGACTCCTCGCGCTATCCAAAGTAAAGAAACGTAACGTTTGAAGACGAGTCAATCGTCTCATCCCAAACAGAACTTCTAGACCCTCATGGAAATAAACATGTCGCAAGTTGATCAAATTTTCCAGCTCTATTGGAAACATTGAACTCTCGAGAGATCACGTCGGAGTCAACATTCTTAAAGTCTGGAGGTTATAGAGCTTGCCAATAGATTTGGAAAGTACCCTGATTTTTGTTCTGAAATGTTGAGATACCTCAAGTATCTTAGCTCACCAATTGAACTGGGCAACTCCTTAAGATCATAACAGAATAGATTTAACACATGTAAAGCCTTGAAGCTTGAGAAGAAGTTACAAAGTTCACCATTTGAAAATAGGGAGCGCACTTTCTCAACATTTCTTTCTGAAATTCTTTGTTGTATTGAAGGAATATGTGGCTCCTTTAGGAGGTTCAGTTTATCTTCTCGATCAGATTTTGACACTAGTTCTGCAAGATCATGTATGAGATCATGCATCTTGCATCTGATGATAAACCCGTAGCGATCCTTCGTAACATTTTGAAAAAAAAGGAGTTCTCTAATAGACTGTTGAAATATTCATTACCTATATCATCATCTCTCGATTACTTGGAGAGCGGAGCAATCCTTGAGCCATCCACAGTTGGATCAAATCATCCCCTTCAAAGTTGAAATCTTTTTCGAATATGGAGCAATATGCAAAACATTGTTTCAGAGGTGGTGATTTCAGATTATCACAACTCAGCTTCAAAACCGACATGATTCTCTCATCTCCTTCCGGTAATTCCCATATTTACTTTCTTGAATTGATAACCATTCATGTGCACTTTTTTTAGAACGCATCATGCTTTCCAAAACCTATTTGCACGTGAGTCCGAATTTCAATTAATGAAGATTACAAGAAGGTGCATAAGCAACATATAATTAATGGAGTAGATTCTCTCCCCTCTATTTTTCCCTCCCCTTTCTTCCCCTCATATTTGAACAGTCATGGTTAAGTCGCATCAATTATTATATTAATTTTTTATAGCAAGAGAAAGATAAAATAAGAGAACATGAGAGGAGTGGATGGAAAAGGATGGGAAGAAGATGGAAGAGAATCATAGTTCATAATTAATAGCAGTAGGAGTAAAAAGTTAATCGAAAGTGAATAATTAATCTGCTTTATCGAAACTATATTTAATTAGTGGTAATATATGGATCAGTGCATACCTTTGCCACTAATGGTACACCAGCACACTTTTGAGCAATCGTTCTTCCAAATTTTTGTAACTCTGAATCTGTTTGAGCATTGCCATCTGAAAATGCTTCACCCTTTAATATGGACCAACAATCATCTGCCGATAGTTGCCCCAAGTCACACCTCAGAAGTGTTTCTGTAATCAATGCAACGTTTGTATTGCGAGTGGTTACAATCACAACACTGCCGCGAGCAGAATTGAGTTTCGATAAACAACTAATCAAGCTGCTCCATAGTATGTCATTTTCATTCCAAACGTCATCAAGTACTAGAACATATCTCCTCCCTGTCAACTCTTCTTCGAGGCTATTCAACAATGCCTCTTAACTTTCGAGTCCTGTTTTTTCAAATTAAGGGATTCTAACATTCGGCTTAAAATCGAATTACCTTTTAAGATACACACACCCATATCTTTTTGTCAAAGCATCTGTCGATATCACGCTTGTCGTTGAATATTGGTTTAGCCAAAGTTGTCTTTCCGAGGCCTGGTATGCCCACAACTGCCATAACCGAAAGATACTTTTCCTGGTTGTTGGAGTTTGTCAAGGTTGCAATTATACCACACACAACCTCCTCCCTTCCGAAGGTCTTTTCATCAAAATCAAACCGTCAGACGGTTTCCCTGTTCCCCGTACCTGGAGGGGTTGCATCTAATTTTTTTGCAACTAATCCAATGAAAGACGCCTCGCTCTTGAGATCGGCCAGAGATGCGTTGATTTTTTCGATTTTATGGGACTTCTTTTGACGAAATAAGGCAGGGTTGGAAGCAGAGAAGATGTTGAGTAGCTTTTTCTTTGTATCGTTTTGCAGTTCTACTTCACCCCGGAGAATGTCGTAGTTGATTTCTGTTGGAATTTATTAGGTTTATTTAGGAAATTAATTAGAGATTTGTTTTGATTTTGTAGTAGGGTATTTTTGGCATTTATGCATTAGGGTTTCTTAGGTTTATTGCTCTATAAATAGAGCTTGTAATTTAGTTTGAGGAACAAGTTAGTCATAATGTAGTCTCTAGGGTTTTTGTAGCCATCTTGGCATTCTCAGTTTGTTCAATAAAATTCCTATTATTTTGTAACCTTATTTGTTCCGCACTCTGATATTCAACTTGGTATCAGAGTCAGGTTCGATCCTTAGGGTTCAATCCGTTCTTGTTGGTATCAATTTGTTTTGTCGCATTTTGTTTTTGGGGTTTACTTTTTGTTCTGTCGTCGTTAGGCTTCGCTTCGCTTCCGCTTTGCTCTGTGTCCCTTGTTCTTGGTCACTCTGTTTGGTCTCGTTTAGGCTTTCCCCTTCTGCAGTTTGACTTTTCACTAGAGTGTTATGTCGGCTGCAATCCCTTTATTTTGCAAAACTTGTTTGCTGCATCATTTGGTTTTGCGATCTGGAGAAGACCCCAGGTCATAAGAAAAGGAAAAAAGTATGGCTGGTTTGAGGCTTAGGCCCACACGGGCAAAGAAAAATATGGTTTTGAATATGGTTTTTTGTTTGTTTGTTCGGAAGTTGGAATTTGCACTGGCTTGAATCTTGCACTTGGCATCGGTGAAATTGAAATTGGCATCGGTATTGCATTGCATTGCAAATCTTGGCATCGGTGAAATTTCGTATTGAAATTGGCATCGGGCATCGGCATTGGAATCGGCATCAGCATCGGCATTGGAATTTGGAGGCTTGCATCCACATCTGCTTGTTGGCAAACTCATGTCGTGTACCGCCATGAGTTTGACGGGGGATGTTGGAATTTATTAGGTTTATTTAGGAAATTAATTAGAGATTTGTTTTGATTTTGTAGTAGGGTATTTTTGGCATTTACGCATTAGGGTTTCTTAGGTTTATTGCTCTATAAATAGAGCTTGTAATTTAGTTTGAGGAACAAGTTAGTCATAATGTAGTCTCTAGGGTTTTTGTAGCCATCTTGGCATTCTCAGTTTGTTCAATAAAATTCCTATTATTTTGTAACCTTGTTTGTTCCGCACTCTGATATTCAACTTGGTATCAGAGTCAGGTTCGATCCTTAGGGTTCAATCCGTTCTTGTTGGTATCAATTTGTTTTGTCGCATTTTGTTTTTGGGTTTACTTTTGGTCTCGTTTAGGCTTCGCTTCCGCTTTGCTCTGTGTCCCTTGTTCTTGGTCACTCTGTTTGGTCTCGTTTAGGCTTTCCCTTCTGCAGTTTGACTTTTCACTAGAGTTGTTCTGTCGGCTGCAATCCCTTTATTTTGCAAAACTTGTTTGCTGCATCATTTGGTTTTGCGATCTGGAGAAGACCCCAGGTCATAAGAAAAGGAAAAAAGTATGGCTGGTTTGAGGCTTAGGCCCACACGGGCAAAGAAAAAATATGGTTTTGAATATGGTTTTTTGTTTGTTTGTTCGGAAGTTGGAATTTGCACTGGCATTGGAATCTTGCACTTGCATCGGTGAAATTTCGTATTGAAATTGGCATCGGTATTGGCATCGGCATTGGAATCGGCATCGGCATCGGCATTGGAATTTGGAGGCTTGCATCCACATCTGCTTGTTGGCAAACTCATGTCGTGTACCGCCATGAGTTTGACGGGGGGTGTTGGAATTTATTAGGTTTATTTAGGAAATTAATTAGAGATTTGTTTTGATTTTGTAGTAGGGTATTTTTGGCATTTACGCATTAGGGTTTCTTAGGTTTATTGCTCTATAAATAGAGCTTGTAATTTAGTTTGAGGAACAAGTTAGTCATAATGTAGTCTCTAGGGTTTTTGTAGCCGTCTTGACATTCTCAGTTTGTTCAATAAAATTCCTATTATTTTGTAACCTTATTTGTTCCGCACTCTGATATTCAACTTTTCGTCCTAGACATGATCGGCATCTTGAGCTGTGTCCTTAAGCTTGTTCACCCACGCTTCGACTGCCGTACCCTGGCCTTGGAGTGCCTGCTCGGCTGCACCAAGTAAGAATTCTCGCACTGGAAGTAATGATCGACGAAGCTTCGTTAGTTCTCCTTTGAATCCCCAGGCGAGCACGACTTCCTGAGCGGCACGAGAAGCCACCTTAGTTAGAATTCCCTGGGCGGCAAAAGTAAGCAGAAATTCAGCTGCCATCTTCCGTTCCTAACAACGCAAGCAAAGTGCTTTATCTAGAACTAAAGAAGGAGTTGATTAATGCTCCAAAATGTTGATTTACATATTGATTATAATTATTTATGGCTAATTACGTCATGATCATTTTCTTATAACAAAATTGAAATTTAAAATTGCAATCACGCGGGAAGGTGGTTGATTAATTAGCTACTAAGCAGTGTAGAATGACGTAAAAACGAGTTTGCAAATGCAATCATTATTTTAAGGCAAGAATAGGTGCATCGCTTTTTTTTTTTTTTTTAGTGAAGGGGTATTTCAAATTACAAAATTCCATCTTAAATTACCTTTGTCCTTTAATCCATTCCAACTGTAACTTTAAAATACTTTCCAACTTGGCTCTGTAATGATTTGTTAAATTAAATATTAAATTAGTCATTCCAAAATTTAAACTCATCATACAATAATTCAACTCTTTTTCTTTCGTGAGCATAAAGCATGAGCTGACCTCATCACATCTCGTCCATAAAAATGAAAGGGCTGAGATTTGATTAAACATGTGAAATTATATACTCAATATTCTTGTGCTTAGTCCTGAAGGAAGAAAAAAAAAAGATTTGATTAAACATGTGAAATTATATACTCAATATTCTGGTGCTTAGTCCTGAAGAAAAAAAAAAGAATAAAAAAGCAGAAAAGCAATAGACTGAAAGAACACAGCCGTTAAACATTTGATTAATCACGAAATTGGGTGTAATGCGCCATTTTACTTTTTAAGTGATTAAGCAAGGTGTGATAATTATTTTATTTTGAATTTACGGGGGATAAATTTAGAGATTATTTTTAACGATTTTCAAGGTAAGAATGATGCCAAATTCAAAATTTATTTTAACTAAAAAGCTATTTTCTTTTTGGAGCTTTTAGATTCAAGTCCAAAAACATAAATTATTTTTAGGAGTAAGTATCTAATTACATGTTTTTATTTCTTTTATACTTATTTTTTATTTTCTAAAAAATTAAAAATCAATTAAATTTTTCTAAAATTATGCATTGCCAACTCCAAAAAATCTAATTAATATTTTATAACAAAAAACTAATATATCTGTAAAATATTCTACCTTAATTCAAGTAACAAATATATGTCTCGAGTTCAAAACCTCTTGTAGAAGCCAAACTTATGGCCAAAGAGGTTGAAATGCCTCTACGAGACTTCCTGACATCCGAAAAGAGTAGATAGCCGTAGTTTACCATCATTTATTCCTTTAATATATATATGAAAATGCTACTAGTTTTCAAAATTAAAGGTTGAGTTTTCGCCTTTTTGGAACGAAAGCAAAAGCCAGTCCCAGTAGGGGAAAAAAATGTGGCGGAGGAGCTTTAGCAGCAGCAGCAGCACCGGCACCGCCGCTGCTACAACTGCTTTGAAGAACAAGAAATGGGACGCTCTGGTCATTGGAGGCGGCCACAACGGCCTCACAGCAGCCGCATACCTTGCACGCTCCGGCCTATCCGTCGCCGTCCTTGAGCGGCGGCACGTGATTGGCGGCGCCGCCGTTACCGAGGAGCTCGTTCCCGGGTTCAAGTTCTCTCGGTGTAGCTACCTCCAGAGCCTCCTCCGCCCGTCCATCATCAAGTAAAACACATTTGTTCATCTCTTCATTTGTCTATTTGTGCATTTGCATCGTAGAAATGTTTGAATAATTTAATTTTCTACCAAACAATGCCTTACGCCTCCTTCTAACAGAGAATTAGAGCTGCCGCGGCACGGATTGAAGCTGCTGAAGGGGAGTCATTCGTCCTTTACACCCTGTTTGGATGGAAGATATCTTCTTTTGGGACCAAACAAGGACCATAACCACTCTGAGATTTCCAAGTTCTCCAAAAGAGACGCCGATGCTTATCCAAGGTCTATACTTATACTATCTGTATTCCGTATCCTGTATTTTGTGTTTTGTATTCTGCATTTGGTATTCGATTCGCTCTGGTTTGGTATTGAATAAATTGATTGTACAGATATGGGAATCAGCTAGGGAATTTTTGTGAATTTATGGACCCCTTGTTGGATTCAGCTCCCCCTGAATCTTTGCAATGCGAGTCATCTTGCAGTGTTAGTGATCGGTTTAAGAATAAGATGCACAATTCGATGTTTTGGGCTCGGTGTCTGAGACAAGCGGCCGCCTTAGGCCAAAAGGACTTTGTGTAAGAATCATTAATTTTCCTAACAATGTTATAGCTAGAACCATGAATTACTATGGTTATGGAGGTAGGCTAATTGATTTCGGTTTATGATTATGTGATTATTGGGTTTGACAGGGAGTTTATGGACCTTTTGTTATCCCCGGCTTCCAAGGTTTTGAATAACTGGTTTGAGGTGATCAACTCATTTCTACATGAGAGTTATCATTGTTGATTCGTCCAAAGTTCATACATTGTGAAGTTTTTGCATATTATTTTGTTGGTCTTCTTTCTTGTTGATTTTGCTGTTTACAGTCAGATGTTCTGAAGGCAACCCTCGCAATGGATTCTGTAATAGGAACTACGGTAAGACTTCTCATGAATGGTGGGAGATTCATCGCTTCAAATTTTTTAGTACTTGTCGTATATACTGGACATTTTGTGTTTTTTTATTTCTTTTTCTCAAAAGGACTTTCCTACCGTTGTTTAGTCATTTTTCCACGCTGTTTCTTATCTAGGGAAGTGTCCATACACCTGGGAGTGGATATGTTCTGCTACATCATGTGATGGGAGAAACTGATGGTGAGCGTGGAATCTGGTCGTAAGTTACTCTATTGCTTGCTTGACATATTTCTGCCCCTTTTTTTTTTTCCAAAATTAGTTTCACATGATACTTTGATAGAAATTCTTGAGATATTCTTTGTTCTTTTCTTGTCGGCTTTCATTTTCTACTATATCTTTCATTAAACATTTTTGGTTTATCCCTATTTAGACTTGCTCTTAGTATTGGAAACCCAATTTTCCCTATAGGTTTGTTGAAGGTGGGATGGGTTCAGTATCCTTGGCTATCGCTAATGCCGCTAAGGAAGCTGGCGCTCATATTGTAACATGTGCAGAGGTATTTATGTCCAGAAAGGAGCTAGCTTTAGTTTGTGCTTCAGTTCTCAAACTTTTTGCGTTGGACAATTCTTTTATATTGTCTGTCTGTATGACTTTATACATTATGCGGTTGTCTTGTCTATAGCTACCTTTAACTTTTCAATTTTTGTTGGTCAGGTTCAGCAATTGTTGATTAATGACTCTGGCACTGCGGACGGGGTTAGTTTCTTCTTGCTTCCTGAATGAGGTAGTCTTGAAACTTAAATCTAACTTGTTCGATAGTTTTCATGTCTTGTTGTAGGTTTTGCTGACTGATGGCTCACAGGTGCATTCTTCAATTGTTTTATCAAATGCAACCCCTTACAAAACCTTCAAGGTAAAATACTGGGCCTGCATATGTAAATTCAAATATATAGAGAAGACTTGGGCTGTGAGAAATTAGATGGGAAATAACACCTGTGTAAACCTTCAAATTTTTTATAGTAAATGCATTTTTAATCTATAGACTATAGGTTTCCATTATATATGACACAGGAGTTGGTACCAGATAATGCTCTTCCTGATAGTTTCGTCCGTGCAATTAAGTATTCTGATTACAGCTCCGTAAGCTCCTTTTATTACTTCTTTTGCGGGGTCGTTCGTCTTAAATTTTCCATTTATAATCTTCCCCTTAACTTGAGGTTACTTACCTATCTGCAGGGAACTACAAAAATAAATTTAGCGGTTGATAAATTGCCCCAGTTCAAAAGTTGCAAGATGGGTCATCCGGATGCAGGTCCTCAGCATGTGGGCAGCATTCATATTGGTTCTGAGAGGTATGCTTTTATCTCACCATTATCATTTCTTTGATTCCACATGATGTGCTTTCTCATATTGTTTCCGTCTCTATTCTAAAGCATGGAGGAGTTTCAATTAGCCTGGCAAGATGCTGTCAATGGATTGCCATCGAACAGACCAGTTATTGAGATGACAATTCCCTCTGTACTTGACAAAACTATTTCTCCCCCTGGTACATAAAACTTCTTTGCCTTGAACGTGTGTATCATATGTCTCGTTCCTCTAGAAAGCATTCTAGTTCTCATACGACATAATTCAACTCTTTGTAGGCAAGCATGTGATCAACTTGTTTACTCAATATACACCATATAGCCCATCAGATGGCCACTGGGGAGATACTGTTTACAGAGTGAGTTTTTAATTTCTGTGCAAAAAGATGAGGGGGAAACTCTGTAAGATGTCGGAGAAGCGAAATATCTATCTTTTTCTTTCTAGACGAGGCATCAACTCTTTTTGCTTTCTTTTTTGTGGCAACTTTACTTCTGATGGAATACTTTTGTGGGGACACAGAAATCTTGCTCTGGGCCTCTGACTAATTATTTCAAAATGGCATGGTGCCTTTGCAGGAATTGTTCGCACAAAAATGTTTTAGCTTGGTTGATGAATATGCGCCTGGGTTTAGTTCATCAATCATTGGTTACGACATGTTGACTCCGCCAGACCTTGAAAGGGAAATTGGTTTGACAGGTACTTCAAAACTCAAATCTTTGTAGAAATGTAAGCAGAAGGTTCAGCCAAATTTAGTTCACCATAAATGATATTAAGGGTTTTGGCCGGAAATGGCAGCCGTTGAACATCACAATACGGAGATGGGAAGTTTGTCAAACAAGCTTGATCTAACTCAAAATGTAGCGAAAGTGTGAAATGTTAAAATAGACCAAACATTTTCTTCATTCTATGCATAATCGATGAGATGGCTCATCGTCTCAGCATGATTGCAGCACCGAAAAACTCACACCGACTTGTAAATGTTTTTTGACAGGAGGGAATATCTTCCATGGTGCTATGGGATTGGATTCGCTCTTCCTCATGCGACCTGTGAAAGGATGGTATATCTTCTGACATCTGATTTTACCTGTGACAAAATCTTTCCTGCTATAGCGAATCAGCGATGCCTTATGTTGACTAGTGTGAAAAGTCTATATCTGTTTATGTTAATTTGGCATACACGATCCAGGTCAAATTACAGAACGCCGCTGAAAGGGCTGTATTTGTGCGGGAGCGGAACCCACCCAGGGGGCGGTGTGATGGGTGCACCCGGGCGTAATGCTGCACGCGTAGTTCTTGTAGATGTGAACAAGCCATTAAAATGATTACTAATCTGACTGGTTTCAATTTGTAGCGGGTGTGCTCCGAAATTTCCAGGCATACGTCGTCGTGTTTGCATCTTGTATCTTCATCCAGCATAGAAAGCGAACAATATGAGACTGCATTATACCTGTTCGTGTAAATTATCTTTTGATCCCTCAAAATTCTTTGGTTTTCCTGCTAATCATGTTGACAAGAAATAGTAGTTTGAAATAATGGAGCCGAGAAAACCGAGCGCACAACCATACTAAACCGACGCTCCGTTTTGGTGGCATATGCTGCCTCCTTGGACTGTACAAGGTGTCTCCAAGGCTCGAAACCGAAAAACACACATGCTCAACAGCTCAAGAAAACAGAATATATATATATATATATATAACATCGATAACTCAAGCTTGTCACGCGTTTCTTTTTCCTTTTTCCATCAAGCATCCAAATATTCACAAACATCGCACTAATATTGCAAGAGCTCTGCAGTGATTCCTATCAAAGAAACTTGGAGGATCGGTGTGTAATCAAAAGACGGACATTATAACGAATAATTCTAAACTGCAAAGTGCAAACTATCGACTCCGCCAGGCGGAAACAGATTTTGGGACCAGTGAGATGGCATTTGAGGCAGATTCTAACCTGCACCAAAAGTTAAGAGAATCTGTTAACTTTTCAGATGAAAATAAGGAAGCGGACATTCAAAATAGTCAGCAAAAGAATATTGACAGATACGAGGGGAGAGGGAGAGCACCTTGAGATTTCTTCAACGGCCTTCATAACTTCAGTAGAACTTGTTTCCAGCACTTGACCTCCAAAAATGATCTCATCCAATACGGTATGCATCTGTGAAAGAAGAAGAAGATAGTTACCATAAACATATATTGACATTTGGTTTACATAAATGATCATTTTTCAGTAATGACGACATATTAATCATATATCAACGACACAACGATGACTTAATGACAATACATCGATGATATAATAACGACATAGTAAACACTCATCACTTATGCAACAAAATGTCAAAATATGTTTATTGTGGCTAATTGCCCAAAAAATAATTGAAGCACAGTTTGAGGGAAATGGTTTCACGAATCAAAGACCACAAACATTTTGATTCAGCTACATCTCCTAAACAATAATGAAGTAATCTAACACCCACTCTTTTACTCGAAGTATCAAAGTACATGCAACAAATCACAAGTAAACAATAGTCACGCCAAAACAAAGGGAGTAATTTACCTTGCTGTAATTGAGGACCACATCAAGCTCGCATACATTTTTGAAGCATTTGTCCAATGTTTCCACAAAAACTGAAACAATGAGAATCGAAGTAAGCAAATCATTCAATCAAAGCAACCCGTAGCACAAGAAAGCACAAGTATTAACTTTGAGAAATAAGCTAATCATTGCCATGTTCGGTTTTAATATAGGGAGGGCGTGATAACTTGGTCTATTGTTCAAGTCAGGACCATATACACAGTAATCCCCATTTCTCATCGAGTCGCGACAAATTAACTGTAACCATAAGGTTTCTGCAAGCAAATTCTCTCCTATTTCACACATTGCATTTCCAATTAGCAATAAACATCTCGAAATTCCAATTTCCAAAACTAAAAAGCTTTCCCAATGCATTCGGATTTCAACTAAAATTGCAAGCAATCAATTTGAGAATTCTCTACTAGCCAAAGGTGCGGTAACTTGTAAATTCGAAACTTTGCAATTCAGTAGCAGCTCCATAAATAGGGATAACGCTAGGTACCTTGAATGAGGTCAAGCATGGCAAGCTCGTTTTCAGAACTATCGAATACAAAGACGAAGTACAAAGTTGCAAAGTGCTTGTACACAAGGCGAGTATCCTGCACAAGAACAAAAAATGATTCATACACAATTTGAGTAATCATTGAGAAAGGAGTAGGAAGAAACGGAGACATAAAAATTAGGAAGAATTTGAGGGAAGATCAGCAAAATACCGCGCCGAAAATAGACTCGGCGTCCACGAAATTGCTCACATTCTCAGCTCTACTGGATAACACTGCAGAAGAGGAAACCAAACATGAAACCCTAATTTGAATATAAAGATCACAACAAATTGAGTGTCAAGCTAACATCCACATGATTTATGCAGTAAATGAAGCATAAATCACAGTAGACCCAGAGAGAGAACCTCCATAGACGCTGCGTATAAGCTCCTGTTGCTTCTCCACAGGCTGACCTTAAACACTGTAAAGTCAGCCATTTTTATACAACGATCGTAATAATAAATAAATAAATTTTTACAGAAAAAAATAAATAAATATTGAAAATTGGAAGGAGGAGGTGACCTGAAATTCGTAGAACTTGGCAAGGCGAGGCTTCCCCTGCGTGTTTATCACCATCACCGATCGTATCATCTTTTCCAGAAATAATAAGCAAAAAAACGTTTCTTTCTTTTTTTTTAAGTGAATTTCCACACTACAAAAAATGAGATTTGATTTGAGATCCATGTTGGTCCCGTCCCTTGTAATTATGTAAATATGTAGGGGCCTACTCGTAAATTCGAATGCGGGGACGCATAGCAGGCGATCCAAAACCGCGCAACTAGGTGGTTTAAAAAGTATAAATATTAAATAGTGCGCCAAACAAGCCCTACACCACCCTAGTCCAATTGAAGTCAAACCGCAACCAGAATCGTCGGCGGCGCATCAATGGCGGATCAAGAAGGTGGTGATTCGGAAGACGATGCAATACTGATCCCCGAGACCGCAACGCTCCTTCCATCGACTCAACATTGCCTCCACTCCATCAACTCAGTCGTCTGTATCCGGGAGCTCCGGTCTCAAGGCCTCTCTTTCCAGCTTTGGCCGGCCGCCACCACGCTCCTCACTCTCCTCGACGGCTACCACGGTGACCCTAGCACCAGTCCCCTGGGACCCACACTCTCGGCCTTGGACATGCGGAAGCGCCCTCTCAAAATCCTCGAGCTCGGCTCCGGAACCGGCCTCGTCGGAATCGCCGCCGCAGCCACGCTCGGGGCTACCGTCACGGTCACTGACCTCCCACACGTCATCCCTAACCTTTTATTCAACGTGGAAGCGAACGTCTCCGTATTGGAAGCCAACGGCGGCATTGTCCACGTGGCGGCGCTGGGGTGGGGGGAAGCGGCGGACGTGGAGGTGATTGGGCGGGAATTTGATCTTATTCTGGCGTCGGATGTAGTGTATCACGATCATCTCTACGGGCCGTTGCTCAAAACGTTGCGTTTGCTGATATTAGGTGAGGCGGAGGAGAATGAGGAGGGAAAGGTTTTCGTGATGGCCCACCTGAGGCGGTGGAAGAAGGAGTCGGCTTTCTTCAAGAAGGCCAGGAAGGTTTTTGAGGTGGAGGTCTTGCACGTGGACCCCCCGTGCCATGGCTCCAGGGTTGGAGTTACTGTTTTCCGTTTTACCGCGAAGAAGTCGGGTCGGAAAATGTTGAATTCTACCGGCAATACCAATGTCACGGCCTAACCATCAAATTCCATCTTAGTTATTCTTGCGTTTTTGCACTTTTTAAATTCTAAACGAGTCTAAATTACAGGAGTTGAATTGGAATTCAACCTCATATGCAAAGTGACGGAAACCTGACGTCACTAAATTACAGGAGAGAAACTGAATTCAACATCGGATGCAAAGTAACGGAAACACTGACGTTATTAAATTATGGGAGAGAAATTAGAATTCAACCTCGGATGCAAATTGATGAAACACTGACGTTACTAACTGGCGTAACTCATTTTTGCTTGGGTTTATATTCTCAGTTGCCACAGAAAGCTATAAATAACCAACAAAGAAAGCTCACAACTTCACTCTCACACAATCTACCATGAACCTCTGCCGAACATCGCGCACGGTGGCCACTTAAGCAAAACTAGCGAAACCCAGAATGCTTGGAGTGCCCGGCAAAGTGCAGAGTTAAACCACCGCCTTAAAGCTGAGACTTGTGCATGAATTTCAGCATCTGCTAACCGAAAGTTGAGGAAAGCGTTTCTCTTAGCCACATATGAATGCTTGATTTTCATCGCTTCCATAGCGGCGATCCTCTGCCCACGGTTTTCATACTTTGCGAGTCTCTAAAGCACACAAAGTGCACTAGTGTTTTCCCGTTTGGATACACGGCAAAGACACTTGTTCCTATTTTCTTCCTGCAAAGGGAGCACATGCTATCACTGGTGATCTTCACCACCCCTTTCCTTTGTTCATAGAGTTCATCTTTAACCTGTTTCAGATGATCATTTATTTATTAGTTCAGGTGAACCACGTTTAAAATCGTTGACATAAATAACTCGTTGGGGAATCTCAACCTCATCAAAGAGCAATTTAAATGAGCACTTTAAGATGGGACTAAACAAACGAAAGGACATGCGCAAAGGAGAAAAGGAGACTAAAGTAGAACACAGAACTAGGAGTTCAGTATCATCTGCAACAAGATCAAGCCTAAGATACCTACTCACTGCCGAACAAGATTCCAAGCACGATATATTCATACCTGCAGGTTCTCACTTTGCCTCAAACTCTTGATCACCGAAAGGTTCCTGTACGCTTCACTGGATTTTCTCAACAGAGGTCCCATAAATGGAAGCAAGTGCTGCAGATCAACATAGACAAGCATGAACAAACCAGATTAAAGAGACATCGACACCAATGCGTTAATCGAATATTTAAAAAACAGAATTCAAATATTCATTTCCTCAAACTCTTGATCACTATTTGCAAACACATTGCGTTGTGGTTGATAAAATCATATTCTATGAGAATTAATATGATGAATACCTGTAGCTTAGTTTCCCTTGGCAAAAGTTTAAGTGCCTGAGCTCCATTAATTCTGTCCCACCTTCGGCTCAACAAATCGAGGACCTCATCAAGCATGATTGTTGACCCTCCTTCCTCGCTATATTCCTCTGCATCTCCATCACTCCTGCTACTGTCAGTGCTACTTTGACTGACTCTTATGTCAGGTGCCACCTCTATTGCAGCAATTTTTTTAGCACCACGACCTCCTTTACTTTTAACTGTATTTGCAGAACCAACCTTTGGTGTACCGATATTCTGAGGTGATACTAAATTTGTAATTCGCTTCTCAAAGTTCTTGGTTGTTTTCCTCGGATTAAGATAAATTTGTAATAGAGTTAGGTATATATTGCCGGAAGATCTTGAAGATGGTTGATGAACTAAGGACTCATACATGCGATCACAATAGGACAGTGCCAGCTCAGGAACATGAAGCTACAAAAGTCAGGAACTTAATCAACTCAAACAGGATTCATATAATATACATACGTATTCTTTCTAGGATGTGAACATATAGAAAATACCTTATGAACATAGAGAGATAAGGCAAGCTCATGTTGGTTCATTTTTCCCAACAAAATTGCACGCTCTTCGTATAAAGCATCCGCTGGAAGACGTTTCAACAAAACCTCCGGACTATATCCTGAGATACTCTCTAAAGCAGACAATAATTTCTTTCTTGTTGAGGAGTAAGTTTGCTCATCCCATTTCTGCTGAGCGCTTAAATCTGCATACCAATCAAGTACTTCTGATAGATAGATATGTACCTGCCATGCAGTTTTGACTGGTAAATACCAGCATACTACTTGCATCACCAATTTACAGAAATTACAACAGAGTAGCTGAAATTGGCAACAGATATTTTGTTTCTGACAACTCTACCTTTTTAGCTTCTTGGCGAATCCAAATGACCCTTAATCCCAACTTATAATTGGTCTTACCATTTACATTTTGCAGATTATATTTGTGCACCATGCGTACATCTTACCATTTCATTTTGCAGATTTCCGGAGACCCCGTTTTCATCCATTGCAAGCATAAGCTCTAAGTATGTGGCCTGCAAGTTTGGAGCATGCTGCTTCAAGTAAGAGTTGACCAGGTCTGCTGGAATATTCCCATTCAGAAAGAGCTGAATTGTTTGTGTTGGACAACTTTCAAGAACAAGCATTGAATACTCCAGGACAAGCATGGGATCAGTCCCACACAGAGGCTGCACATAACAAAACCGGTCATATCTATTTACGTATTTTACGTATATTTTGGTTCCTAATCCTAATAAAACAAGTAATCTGATCAGATAACCAAGTTCCTAAAACAATACATTTTCCAAAAAAAATAAAAAATTATGCTGGATGCTAAGAAATAAAACTCCATCCGTTGTATGAAACATTAAAATATAGTTCTATACTTCTGAAATAAACCCTACATCACAATTCTCAGTTCTATATTCCAAAGTATATGGAAAAACATCTGATGATAGTAATGCTGAAAAAAATTGTAGTGTCCAGTGATATGAAAAATTTTAAATGGTCCGGCAACTTATGGTTGACTTAGCATTCATAATATACACCACGGATTTCTGTAATGCTACCATCTGGTTCCAGAGTCCAAATTCCAGTTATTGATGAATGTAAATCTTTCAAATCAATAACATACTCCAATTTCTAGAATATGACTAGCATATTCAAGATCAAAGTCATCAAACAGATTGAGAAAACCTACCTTGAGATATTCAACAATTGACTCAGGCTTTAACTTTTGGATCAGTTCAGTTTGCACTTGGTTAGATTTAGAATCTTCTACCAATTGATGCAAAAGTTTTAGAGCTTCATGGTGCATTGAATTGCACCTGTAAAGTTCTAACAAAGCAGCGTAATGATTATTTTTCTGGAGTATCTCCTCACATATTTTTACTTCACAGTAGTTAAGACCTTTCAGTAATTCCAAAGCCACTGAAGCCTGTCCAGTAAGAAGTAGAGCTTGGAGTAGTACTGTATCCAGGATTGCAGCCATCTCCCTAGCACCAGAGGTAATTGGAACACTGCCGCGCCCCTTACGTACCAAAGACAATGTGAGTTTGTTGATATCACAATTTAAATAAAAGATAGTGACCATATCAATATACAAAGAGAAATTCAAGTTGTGAAGATTCAGACGGGGAATGTACACACACAAGGTCATAAATATTGATCAACTGAGAAAAACTAACTGCTGACATTTGAGTTATGCATGTTTGCCAAAGGCTAATATAATCTAATATAAGGCTAATCTAATCTAATATAAAAATGCATGGTTCCTTTTGATAACCATGTGCTTCATGCGTAACCAAGCTAACTTTATGTAAGTAACCAACACATAGCTTTTTGTATTAAAAAGCATAAAGGAACAGGGTGGTAAAAACATAAATCTTTTGCTCACCAAAAAAGAAAAAGAAAGAACCATTTCTTAGTTTGCAACCAAAAATGTCACAATATCTGAGTTCAGACAAACAAAATCTGGCATGCTGCATTTGGTGACACAAAATTCTGATCACATGTTCATAACCCATATGAAATTTGTGTATCAATACCAGATAAAATATTGAAATCACATATAAAACAAATATAACTAGTTTACCTTGTTTGATTTCTTAAACCTAGATTCATAGGAGACAAAATTGTCTCCAACAGCATCTAAAACAACCTCTTCAGTTCCCTCAGCAGTGGCCTTTTCAATGATGCCATATCTTTTTTTCTGTAAGAACTTTATGAGAGCCATGAGAGTGTTATGGCTCATTTTTTTGGACTCGAGTGCTGCACTCTCCTCAGATTCCAGTACAGACGGAAGAGAGTGTTCCATATCATCTGATAAACCAGACGAACCTCTTGAGAGGTATGATGAATCCCCAGAAATATCCATTAGCTTCTCTGGCACAGCAACCATAGTTGTCTTCGGAAGAACAATAGATGGATACAAAGAAAGAACATAGGTTATGTCTACTTGAGATGCTAAAAAGTGCTCCATGGCGTCTTCATAGGCCCCATTATCAAAAAGATGATGAGCATATCTGTAAACAATAACAAAAAAATCCTTTAACATATAACAAGAAAAGGCATTAAACTAGCATGATTTATATGCATCAGCAAGTGATGAATTCTTTAAATCCACTGACTGATTCGCACAATTAATGCGCTTTTAGTATGCTTTGTAAACTTAAGGTGAAAGTTTACCAAGCATACTAAAAACGTTGTAATTGTGCGAACCAGTCAGTGGATTTAAAGAATTCATCACTTGCTGATGCATATAAATCAAACTTAAGCATTACATTGGCATCCTTACACATGTAAAATATAATACAAAGACATAAATATATTGCAAATTTGGCCCCAATACAATACATCAGTTTATTCACATAAGCAGAAAGTATTCACCTCATATGAATTGAGGCCTCCTTTGCAGCTCTAAGACTTGCTTCTTCTGGAGGAAGCATCTTACACAATGCCAACGCTTCATCAAAATCACCAGATGCTGTTAATTGTACAATCTGCAACGAAAACACACAATTCACACCTCCTTACCAAAGAAGATGGTGCATCTACAATATAAGCTGTAGTCAGTACAGCAAGAGCATCAGGAATACCTGGGCACCAAGAGGAACAGGGAAGAGACCATAAACAGCATTCTCTAATGCAACAATTACAGCATTATTGCTCTGTAGAATACGACGAGCATTTCTAAGAACAACCGT